GTTTTCCCAATTATGAGTTCCCACCGGCCCAACTTTATCAGCTCATTTTTCTTTGTAAGCTAAAGCTTTTCTTTGTAATCGTCTTTTTTTGGAATCTTCCGTAATTTTTTCAGAGTTTTGTTTGTAGCATTCAATCTTGAGCTACCCTCGTTCCCTTCATACGTCACGATCCTACGAGCTATCCTACCCCCACCACAAAAAGCGTCAAAAATGAGCAAAATGAAGCTTACAATTCTTCTCAAAATTTCCCCAGAATCTAGAGAAAAATTAAATTAATTTACGAAATTTGCTCTAGATAAATGCCTCATTTTTCCTCAGATTTGGAGAAAAGTATTATTGTGGTCCCATATCAGTGTTGCCTAATTACTATTATTAATTGTTTGCCAATTCACATTCATCGTTTCTATTATCAGTTTCAATCTTACAATATTGTCAACTAATTTTTTGATTCTATTATGTATAGATTGATAGCGTTTCTATTATTTCAGTTTATTATCCATTTGATTTTGTTGTTTGGTTTTAAATTACTTATTAGATAAGGATGCAAAGTATTAGACTTATAAGGAAACAGAGTAAAATAACAATGTGGAAAGAATATCTAGAAAAACTATTTGAAGACCAAAGAGGTAACACCTTTGAGCTAGATGAAGAGGTAAATGATGGACCAAGAATACTACAACAGGAAGTTTATTCCGCAATAGCATAGTTAACGGGTGGCAAAACGGCAGGCTTTGATAATATACAAGCAGAACTACTCAAACTAATGGACAACGAATCAATAGCAATATTCGCAAAGATATTCAACAACATATACAACTCTGGAGAAATACCAACAGAATGAATGAAATCTGAGTTTATTCCACTTCCAAAAAAAACCAGGAGCCAAAAAATGAGGCATTTACCGTACTATAAGCCTTATGAGTCATCTCCTAAAATTGTTCCTAAAGATAATTCATAAGAGAATCTACAAGCTGTGTGAAAGTCAAATTTCCCCTAAACAGTTCAGGTTCACAAATGCTGTTAGTACTAGAGAGGCTTTGTTCTCAGTACAAGTCTTATTCCAGAGATGCAGAGACGTTAATTGAGACGTATATACATGTCTGGTTGATTGCGAGAAAGCGTTTGATCGAGTACAGCACGCTAAGATGATGTAAATACTGGAAAGAAGCAGGAAAAACAACCAATATCTGAAAATAATTAGAAATATTTACTGGAATCAGACAGCAAATCTCAGAGTTGAAGGTGAACACACTGACTATGTGAAAATCGTGCGTGGAGTGAGGCAAGGCTGTATTTTGTTTTCTCTAATCTTCAATCTGTACTCGGAAAGAATATTTATCGAAGCTTTGCACGAAACTGAAAAAGGTATACTACTAAATGGATACCGACTAAACAACATCAGATATGTAGATGACACCATAGTACTTGCGGACAACTTAGAAGACCTACAAGTTCTCATGAACAAAATTACGTATTACAGTCAACAATATGGACTCAATATAAACGTTAAGAAGACAAAGCTTATGATAATTAGCAAGAAAAGGATAACAGAAGGTTAACTATACGTCAACCAATACCCTGTAGAAAGAATGACGCACTACAACTACCTCGGCACCATAATAAATGAAGAATGGACCAACAACCAGGAGATTAGAGATCCAGCTAGAAAAACTGAAAGCATTTGAAATGTGGCTATATCGGAGAATACTTAAGATCCCGTGGACTGACCGAGTCACAAATGAGGAGGTCCTCAGAAGAATAAATAGGAACCGAGAGGTACTGACCACCATCAAATCTCGAAAGTTACAATTCTTCGGACATATTATGCGAAATGAATCCAGATATGCTCTCCTTCAATCCACCCTGTAAGGAAAAATATTTATAAAACGAGTTCCAGGAAGAAGAAAAACATCTTAGTTAAAGAACCACAGAATTTGGTTCAATATAACATATGTGCAGCTTTTCCGCGCTGTTGTAGATAAGATAAAGATTGTCATGATGATCGCCAACATTCGTAACGGATAGGCCCATCAAGAAGAAGGAATATTGGAAAGGATATTGGTTTATGTTTTTTTTAATTAGATATATTTTGAAATCTTAATATGTCTTTGAGTTTATAAATGAAATAGTCTCCAGGTATACACTATTTAGTGTGTTAACAAATTATTTACAATATTAGAAGTATTAAATAAATCAGACACGTGTATCCGTTATTAAGATAAGTAAGATAACCTTACAATGTTTCAAAAGAAAAAACCAAATGTTGTGCAAGTTTATAAAATATCTCACAATTTAGCATTAACGAGCCGTAGATAAACATTTTTAAATTTTTAAACAAACAATTTTAAATGAATTTGGTTAATTTATACAGACTTCCGCCTCTAAAAGGAGAGTTAAAGCTTTTTTTTTTAATAAAGTCCAGATGGTCGCTGGTGTGTCCAAATGAGTGTTACCCGTTATGTCAAGCTTTGGCCAAGCTCGAATAGTCGTGGCTCATGGCATTTTGGCCAGAAAAGGAGTTTTGTTTTGAAAACTGGTGGGGAAGATAAGATAAGAAAGAACGATAAGATAAATAGTTCGTCCTAAAGAGATAAAATAATATCAAAGATAGTTTTGAGTAATATTTTCTTAGATACTTATGCAAAAATCGCCTTTGTTTATCATTTTCAATTATTTTAAATACAACATTATTGTACTCTATAAAAATCCAATCCTATCCAATTAAGATAATTGCTTTGACCTCACAAAGGGTACCTCACGTTAACATAGACAAATGCCTTCACTCCCAAAATTCTTTTTAAATTTTTTTACAAACAATAACGTAAATTTTGTTTTTATTTTTTTTTTACGGGGGATGCAATCAATTTAAAAATTTTAAAAAATTCACACGCATAGCTGAGGCTTTTACAAAACCTATCTATTTTTTTATAGACCCCTAGGTTGCGTGTACATAACCTATAAATGCATTTTTTTTTTCGAAAAAAGCATATACTTTGGAGGTGGCTGCAGGTCCAATTTTTTTATTTTGTGTATTTGACCAACAACTACATCTCTGAATTTTTCAGATTTTTCCGTATGGTGCACCATCTTCAAAAATCCGAAAAACTGTTTTTTGGGGGTTGTGGGGAATTTTCTCCATTTTTAGACTTCAAAATAGGTCAGATCAAGGTTTTCTTAGAGGTTATATCTATCTTAAATTAAAACATGCCTTTAGGGTATTCAAAAATTGGGCCAAACACCTTTAAACCTCCAAAAATCGTGTTTTTTTGTTGAGCTAACACAGCTCAAACATTTTTTGTAAGTAAAATGTAACATTAGCTATTTTGCTACAACGAGATCCTATCCCAATTCAAAAAGGTCTCGAATTCATTCTTTATAAGACCAGTTGATAAATCTGAACTGATCCAAACAATCAGTAGTATCAAAAGAAAATCTTCCTGTAGTACTGAAGGACTATCCATAAAAATTTTCTTAAATCTCACAAATAATGTATTGAAAGTCTTGGTCTCACTAATTAACGATTCCTTTGAAAAAGGTATATTTCTAAATTGCCTAAAGGCAGCCATTATTGTTCCTCTTTATAAGGGTGGTGATAAGTAATGTCTACAACTATAGACCTTTTGCCTTACTACCTGTCCTATTTAAAATTATTGAGAGACTTATAAAAGCCCGACTTATGTCCTTTCTCGTTGAAGACATTTTATCACAAAGTCAGTTCGGCCTCTTATCTAATAAATGTACCAGCGATGCTATATTTTCTGTACTACATGAGGTATATCAAGCACTAAACAATAATCTTTATACGTTTTTTGTGACTATGCCAAAACTTTTGATTGTGTAAATCATGACATTTTGATAAAAAAACTAAATTTCTACGGAATTCGAGGTATTTCTTTGAATTGGTTCCAATCTTCTTGAGGAATAAGAAACAACTAGTTCGAGCAAATGATACTGACTCTAGTCACAAAGGTTGTGACTGGAGTACCACACGGTATATGTGGAGTACCACAAGGTTCAGTACTGGGTCCTCTACTTTTCCTTATCTTTATAAATGACATCACTAACTTAAAAATCGATGGAAAAATTGTTCTTTTTGCTGATGATACCTGTATTACCTGAAAGAATTCTAATAATGCAACCCTTCATGCAAATTTAATTTCTGATCTACTTAAAATAAAACCTGGTCTGACTCTAGCTTACTCTCTTTTAACGTGGATAAGACAGTAGCATTATCCTATTAAGGAACTCTTCACTCTACAACTTCTTTCCTTAAGTTCCGTAAATTGACAAAAGCCTATCTATCTGAAAGACCTTATTATTCAGTGGCAGAGTTTCTTAAGGAATAATTAAGAAAGTACAGTTCCTTTAGGCACAAGTAACAAATTATTGTTATATATATTATATATTATATATATATATATATATATATATATATATATATATATATATATATATATATATATATATAACATATATATATATATATATATATATATATATATATATATATATATATATATATATATATATATATATATATATTTGGGCATCACATGCAGCAGCTTAAACTTATTCGTAAACTAGTTCGTAAGGTTTTATTATGTAATTTGCAATACAGTGAAATTTTGCAATTAGTGTATATATTTTATTGTTTTATTCTGTGATATTGACGATTTACGTAATTTTAGTAAATTTTAATTGTTATTGTTATTATGGTTATTTATTGTTATTATTACTTTTTTTAACTTTTATAAGCTTTGTCATAAAATTGTACAATTTTCAGTGACAATAAAGCATATTTCTATCCTTTATTCTATAATTCATTATTATCAACTGCCCCAATCAGTATCTTTATAATGTGATCTTATGCGAGCCTGGCTCAAATTTAGGAGTGAACTAAAGAGAACTTAGTTAATTATTTTTAAATGGAACTGAGCTAAATGCCATTCCATTGATCTCATGTTTCATATTTCTTGAATTAACAAATCTCTTTGTTATAGATTCTACATCGAATTCTAGAGTAGTTTCTCGCGCATCGAGGGATGACAAAAAAAATCACCTCAAGCTGCGATCCATCTACCTCAACGGCCTCCACCGCGAGTGGTGGCAGCAACGCTGCCGGCGGAAATAGTGGTGCTGCCGCCTCAACATCGGGTAAAGCCCAAAAGAACGAACCGATGGAAGTGAAGACTTCCACGGCTTCTGGTACTTTCTCAACGACGGCTGGTACATCGTCGAGAAATACCTCCGGAACGACAAGGGGCGCTTCGGGAGCGACAACTGGCGATGACGTCTATGAGTTCAAATCAGCCAAGGAGGTAAGTTTTATTTAACAATTGAAATTTGTACGGTTTGTAAGTAAGTATATTTACAAACCTTTTGTTTGATGAATTTAGTTTAACAATAAATTATTTCAAAGATAAGCCACTACTTTAATTGTTTTCTACCTAAATGTTTCATGAATTAAATATTTTAAAAACGATACATGCATTCATAAACCTACAATAAAAATCTACATCTGTCACATAACCACTTTTTCGACTTATACGCAGTTGTAAGTCCAATCAATGCACATAAATATAGCAGGATGTAGCTATGGTACTTGATTACCATTATTGATGTTATTAGATTAATTCTCTTTTGTAACAATAAAACACTGAAAACTTTGTTTTCAAACTTCCACAAAATATATTTTAAATCTTATCACTACAGCTGTTTCGGCTAATTGCCTTTCTCAAGTGATCTATTTTTGGCTTGGGTTTACAAATTTATTGTCTCTAATGAAATAGGTTGAGGAGGGGAGAACTGTTTGTCTCAAGTTGGTCATTCAGAATTCTATCCATGTTTTTTTAATTTGTTGATTTCCATAGATTCTAACAAAGATAGCTTAAGGCCTTTATTTTGAATGTGAAGAATTTTAAATTTGTCATTAAAAGAATGATTATGATCTAGAAGGTGAAGTGCGTATGTCGAATCTGTTTTCTATTCTTGAAAGCCCTTTTATGTTCTGCTATTCGTTTATCAAAGTTTCTACCAGTTTGACTGATGTAAGTTTTTGGGCAGTCGCCACATTGAAGTTTGTACACACCACTATTTAAGTGTTTTTTATTTTTGCTCTTGTTATTTTTAATATATTTGCCTAGGTTGTTATTTGTTCGGAAAGCTGTGTTATTCCTTTCTTTTTTATGTGTTTGGAAATTTTTGTTGTTATTTTACCTGTATTTCTGCTCGATTACATATACAGGTAAAAATAACAACAAAAATTGCCAAAACACATAAAAAAGAAAGGAATAACACCAGCTTTCCGAACAAATAACAACCTAGGCAAATATATTAAAAATATCAAGAGCAAAAATAAAAACACTTAAATAGTGGTGTGTACAAACTTCAATGTGGCGACTGCCCAAAAACTTATATTGGTTAAACTCGTAGAAACTTTGATAAACGAATAGCAGAACATAAAAGGGCTTTCAAGAATAGAAAAACAGATTCGACATACGCACTTCACCTTCTATATCATAATCATTCTTTTAATGACAAATTTAAAATTCTTCACATTCAAAATAAAGGCCTTAAGCTATCTTTGTTAGAATAAAAAGAGTTAGAAGTTAAAAGTTAGAAGAAAAAAAAACACAGATATAATTCTGAATGACCAACTTAAGACAAACAGTTCTCCCCTCCTCAACCTATTTCATTAGAGACTATAAATTTGTAAACCCAAGCCGAAACAGCTGTAGTGATAAGATTTAAAATAAATTTTGTGGAAGTTTGAAAACAAAGTTTTCAGTGTTTTATTGTTACATAAAATGAATTTCCATCAAGTAACGGTCGAATCCATCAATTAATTCTCTTTTCATAAAATGTATATTTCCTTACCTTCTTCGGTTCTTAATCTTGAATTTACTGTATGAGTTTTAGTTTTTTCGCTTCAAACAATTTTAATTTTGTTCTTGTCTGATATAAGTTTTTGTTCTTAAGCAGTTTGTCGCTTTTGTATATAAGTTTGGTTTTCTTTTACGGAAACATTTTTATTTTATCATTAAACCTATTACTACTCGTAAGCTACACAGTTTGTTAAGTAAATTTATTATTTGTAATCTACAGTACAATAATGATAAAGAAATATACTAAAGTACTACCATAATGATAAATAAATATTAACTCCTATTTAAATTAATTTCATATTATTAAAATATAATGATATAACAATAAACGATTATAGGGTGATTCATCAAGTGCTGAAAGAAAACAAGGTTCTGGATCTGGAAGTACCGAAATGGAAACGGAGGAAACTGATCCTCTTAGTGTAACGCGCCCGACTACACAGGCTTCCGAAGAATCAACTTCGTCTACCAAAAGGCCATTTTATGATAATAATGAAGGTCAAGAAGAACCTGCAGCTCCTGCGAACACTGGAGATGAGGAAACCAAACGAAAGAAACGTAAAGAAGATAACGCTAGAGAAGGAAAATCCACCAATCAAAGAAATACAGGTTTGTATATAAATATTTACAAAATTCATCAGACTTTGTTGTGGCTAGTTAATTTTCATATACATAGTTTTTTCTAAACTTGGATTATACTTTTCCCATTATATTCTATTGAGCTACTTAGACTATAGTACAGCATTCAGCTTTAAGATTCACTATTGATTGACCCATATGCTGTTTGTTGCCTTACTGATATTTTAGATTTTGCCAAAATCCTAATCTATCATTGGTGACCTATACTACTAGTATACTACATACAATGCAAGATATTTCCCATTGTATTTTTTCAATGTGTATTAGGGAGTACTATTTTCATTCCCGGGAAAATTCCACTGCAACACTTTCTGAAACTATTTGTGGATTAATATTAAGCTTTATTTTATATAACCAGAAAACTTAAAGAAATGAACTAGGATTAGCTATTTGTGGAAAAAACTAATGGTGATATGGACAAATAACCGGTCGGAACCACTAAGGACCATACCACATTGTTGGAAAGATAGATGAAAACATAAGTGAAACCCAATTTGGTTTCAGAAATGGTTAGGACACCAGAGATGCTTTATTCACAATCCAAATATTGATCCAAAAAGTCTCGATCACCAGAGAAATGTCTTCGCATGTTTTATAGATTATAAGAATGCAATTGAAAACGTGAAGCACGACAAATTTCTGCTCAAACAAATTGGATTAGATGGTAAGGACATAAGGATTATGAAGAACTTGTATTGGAACCAGTCAGCTCACATAAGAGTCTCAAGAGGACTTAGAAGATATAGAAATAGGGATAAAGATGACTGGAAAACCTTTTAATAACATCCGATATGCTGACGACATAGTCCTCCTTGAAAATGATGAGAAACAGTTACATACACACACAACAATTTTTGTAGAACTCCAGCCCCGCGTGACATGTATTTTCCAATGGAACAGTGGGACATACATGTCTGAAGATCAAACTGGTCACATTCCATAATGGAGTGGTACCTATCTGGCCCCCCAAGTTATAACCAACCACTCCTCCCCATTGTAGGACATAACGAATGAGGAGGCTTTGTACTGAAAGTTACTTTGGAATCTCTGGGTAATGGGATATATTCTGTTTTACTTAATGTGGTTAAGCTACCTAATTTTAGGGATAGCTAGAAGAGTTTTTCTCCCCATGAATGACTGATACAATTAATCATGAAACGTGATATAGACAATGTCAGAGTACGGCCAGTAGATCAGGACATAGAAACAGAAAATTCGTAGAATTTTCATTTGTTTCTCGATACAGTTTCGTTTGGATATTCCGTTGCTCATTTCGCCTTATTCGTATGTTTTAATGCTTCTTCCTCCAGTTTTCGTTGCCAAGATGATTACTTGTTCCATTTCCATAAATCTGCTTGGTTCCGATGACATCACGATCGTTTTAGTCTTTTGTCCATAAAGGACCATGTTGTATCGTACATTCAGATTGTTAAATTGGTCTGTGCAGCTCATTTTCTTTTTTTCAACATTATGATTCTTACCATAACATTTTCTAACTACCTTATCAATTATTTTAGGCAGTGTATTAAACTAGTATATAAAGACCTGACAAAATTTTGACTTCTTAATATCAAATAGTCACAAATATAATTATAATAACTAATATGTACCAATAAAAACTTAATTAACTTTTTAAAGTAAAAACTTGTATTAAATTTAATAAAAACTGAATGCATTAAAATATTATCAATGAAGAAATATTTGTATTTTTTTTATTTCGAATGATTTCGATTGAAAGTCTCAGTATTATTATCGCGTTTATATCCCATGATGTCGGCAATCATAATGCGTAGACATAAATCGTCAAGTAAGTTCTACATTTATATTTATTTGTTTTTGACCAGTTTGGCACTCAGAACATTGATTTTTTTTATATTAATAAAGTCAAACAAAACTTAAAAAAGTTTTGCCCGTTCATAGTCACCTAATATTGTTTCTTATTTTAGTTTTATGCATTTGTTTTTGGTTTCTAATTTTATTTTATCTTATACAGGGTGTTCCAAAACTTTCGCAAGATTTGTATTGAATAGAAAACACTGCTTTATTCTTGACATTGTAATTTTTGGCCCATACACACTCTTTTTTCAAAATTTTTCATTACCTTTTTGAATAAATGTGACTGAATTTCATTGTTTCAATGAACAGGAGGTTGTTATCTTGTGTCTGACTGATTGAAGTTCATAAAAAGAAATCTAATGGTGTTAAATCACACGATCTAGGGGGACAATTCTGATCATTGAAATGAGATAGTATACTATCAGGAAGTGTTTCGTGCAGTAATTTAATTATTTCACGGGCTGCATAGCCTTTGGCACCGTCTTATTGAAACCACAGGTAGTCCACATCCATACCATCCAATTTAGGCAGAAAGAACTCTGTAATCAAGTTGTAATATCGGTCACTGCTTGACCAGTCTCATATTCAAAGAAGCATGGTCCAATGATGCATCCAGCCAAAATCCGTACCAAACAATGATACGTTGTACATGTATTTTTTTCGACACTCACATGTGGGTTCTCATAACCCCAAATGCAGCAATTTTGACGACTAACAAAGCCATCGATGTGAAAATTTATTCATGGTTTAGGATAATTTTGCTCGAAAAATCAACACCCACTTGTTAATGTTCAATAATCCATGAACAGCGAACTCTTTTCGCTGTGCATCGTCAGTAGGCTTCAGTTCTTGTTTCAATTGAACTTTGTAAGCATGGAGGTGAGCTCTTCAGTGTATACGCTGTAGAGAGCTTCTTGAAATTTACAATTCTTGTCCACGACTCTGGTGTTCCTGGATTTTCACCAACACTCTTACGCACTGCTTCGACATGTACATTTGAGCGGCTTGATTTTGGACGACCATTGTGTTTAGCATCACTAATGGATCCAATCTCCCTGAATTTTTCAATTATTTTCTTCAGAGTTGACGAAGTTAAATCAGTATTTCGACCTTATTACGAAATTTTCGAACTGTGACCTCAAAACTTTCACTATTATTAACATACCGTTCAAAAATAAAAACGCGTTGTTCTCTCGTATAACGCTTTATTTTTTTGACGACGACGTCATATAACATTGTGTAACTACCTTATAAATTACTTTAAGCAGTGTAATCAATTAGTGTCTTTACTCGCAAAAGGCTTACACACAAAGGGGCTCGTTATAGTATACGAAGTATACTTAGAATGTAGTAGAAAATACTAAACGTTGACTGATTTGTATAATTTTCATTTATTTTAATCTCTTAAGTATTGATTTTATACATTGTCTGTATTTTATTTGTTATATTAATAGGACAGAATAAGGGACAGGGTGGTAAACAATCTACTGGAGGTCAAACTAGATCAGGAGCGTCAACTTCATCAAAAGCCAGTGCCGATAAAAAGAGCCCATGTTCTAGTCCAAAACCTCCTGGATCTGATCCTGAAGTGGAAGATGGAAAAACAGACCTAAAGGTATGAATAATATAATAAGCTATATACGACCGCAAAATTAACCGGGTACTATATATGTCTTCTTTACAAACTCCATGTAATGTCCTGTAAATTCTGTTTCTATTTGAATAATTTCAACTGATTGTTATATAATTTTAAGTGCTGAAGACTAAAATGATATCATAAAATGGTTAGGGCATCAAGATTTTTCACAAAATTCGAATTTAAATTTAGCTCATTTTTTCTTGTCCGAACTATGCAAATTTGCACTTGGTGTTTCGAAACACACAGAATATCGTATTCTGTGGCCATACAAACCGCAAATTGCATCACAAATACGAAAATACTATCTGCGTACTACACAAGGGGCTCGAAATCGCTGCACAGAATCCCGTTTGGGCCGCCTAGTGTACGCCGCCTACTCACTTCTATTTCTAACCTGGATAACTATTTCTAACCTGGATAAGATAAGATCAACTCAGTTTTTTATCGGCAATTTAGTTTAGTTTGCCTAATGTGACTTATCTGAACAAATGTTCAGAGAAGCACTGGGAGAAGTTTCGGAGGGTATCAAAGTAAACGGAGAGGTAATCAATAATATTAGATATGCTGACGACACAGTTATTATCGCAAATGACTGCAACGAGCTTCAAAGACTCATGCAAAGTATACACACAGCAAGTCAAGAATATGGTTTAGAACTTAATACAACCAAAACTAAATGCATGCTCATCAGCAGAACACAACAACCTTCGATGCAATTGACATTAAACAACCGAAAAATAGAACAAGTGGAGACATACGCATACCTTGGAACCACAGTCAACACAAAATGGGACCAGTCAACAGAAATAAGATCACGAATTGAAAAAGCGCGAAACGCGTTCAACAATATGAAAAAGTGGTTCACAAGCAAAATCTCAATGGAACTATAATTAAGACTAGTCAAGTGTTATGTCTTCCCGGTCTTGTTCTATGGAGCAGAGGCATGGACCACAACGGAAGCCACCCTGAAGAAATTAGAATCCTTTGAGCTGTGGATATATTCGCCACGCCGTATTCTTCGGATATCCTGGACAGACCACATCACTAACGTGGAAGTAATGCAGAGAATAGGCAAAAGCAAAGAAATAATCTTCACCGTAAAGAAACGGAAGCTTGAGTATTTCGGACATGCCATGAGGCATACTAAATACCGGCTGCTACAGTTAATAGTCCAAGGAAGAATCGACATTAAGAGGGGACGGGAAGAAGATCACACTCATGGATGCATAACCTGCGACAATGGTTCGGACTATAACATCGACCGAACTGTTCAGAGGTGGCGTAAACAAAGTCAAAATAGCCTTGTTAATAGCCAATGTCCTAAACGGATAGGGCAAAGGAAGAAGAAGAAGAAGAATGTGACTTATCAAGTTAGCCAAGTTAACCAAGTTATATCAAGCAGTAAAAAGCCCAAAATCTACCAAATTTTTGCAGTTGGATGGAACTTAATGAAACTTGTTACATTCGATTGGTAAGAGTGTCAGGAAGTTTTGTGAACAAAAATGATGATGTGGAAATGAAAATTGCATTATTGAACAAGGAAAATGCATTTTCCAAAGTGAATTTCGAAGTAATGAAAAATGATAAATTTGTAATTTGGAAATAATTGACTGAAATGAGTTCCAATATTATTATCAGGGAGGTTTTTGGGGTCGCTGAACACGAATATCGTTACCGCGGTGGTCTCCGAGACACTTGGTACACCTGAACTTCTTGTAGAGTTTTGTAGAAATTCGGTATAAAATCAGTACAAACTCGTTACTGGTAGCTTTTTGGGGTCATTGAATAATAATACTTTGTTCCGTCCAATGTATCCAAACCATCCCCGTCATATTAATTATGGGGGATGGTTTGTGATGCATCTGGTGCTCAGAAGCGGCCTTGTCTCCTAGAGTTTTGTAGAAATTTGATATAAAAGCAGCCTCCCATGCACAAACTTCAGGAGACGAGGCCCATCTTGGGCACCAGGTGCCATCGCCGACATATTAGTATTCAGCGGCACCAGAACTCTCGGGTAACTAGTTTACACTGATTTTGTATCGAATTTCTTTAAAGCACTTGGAGACGAGACCCGTCCTAAGCCCCAGGTGCATCGCACGCCATATTACTGTTCAGCGAACCCAGAAACCCCCTAGTAACGAGTTTGCACTCATTTGTATTGAATTTCCACTAAACTGTATCTTGTGCCTTGTTTGTACTATACCATGTTGTGTTTTATAAATAAAGTCATTTAAAAAACAATAAATTTCTCTCTCTCTCTCTTTCTCTCTCTCTCTCTTTCTCTCTCTCTCTCTCTCTCTTTCTTTCTTTCTCTATCTCTCTCTCTTTCTCTCTCTTTCTCTCTCTTTCTCTCTCTTTCTCTCTCTTTCTCTCTCTCTCTTTCTCTCTCTCTCTCTCTGTGTCTGTCTAAGGCAACACGATTCATTGAGATCCATTCAACTGCAAAAATTTAGTAAGTTTATTACTTCATTGCCGCATATAGTACAATATAACAGGGTTTGTGAAGAGAATGTATTTAGCATACTTTACACTAAAACTTGGTAAGGTGTGAAAAGAGATGTGTGGAGGAACTTCGAAACTGATTTAACGGTTATAAAGAGAAGTTTCGGCTTTGCGGTATCTATGGTATGGCGAGTGCAAAGGAACTGAATATTTCGTTCTCTTCATCATGATGCAGAAACTATGTTAGTAGAGATTACAGTCTCAGATGAAGGTGAAGTACAACCTCTGTATTCAAGTTATGATTTTGAGGATAGCGCTAGACCAAAAATGTTCTTCCAGAAAAAGATAAATGGTTTGGTGAGACATCTGGATCTTCTCAAAGATGCTGCTGAGTTACTTGGATCCCGATACACATTAATTTAAAAAACAGATAAAATTGTTGTATTTCTAAATATAGTCTGGTATACACTTTAATATCGAGATATTATAGTCTTATATCGAGAGTTGATAAAATAACTTTCATTTTTGGAAATGATTAGTACTTTTCTTACAGATTTTTGTCGCCTTTTTAAATAATAACTACACTACACAACTAACAGTTGTTTATAATTTAATGTGTTACACAAATCTTCCGTAATCATATATTTAAGAAAACTTTTTTAACTCTACAGGTTCCTCCATTGAAAATAGTTATTCCTCAAACTAGCAATGCCGAGCAAGAAAGTGGTGCTGGGCGTAACGGTAAGAATAGTTCGCAAAGATCACATCTGCCGTACGTAGTACCCAGTTCCACCAATACCGAAGAAAAAGATTCCAGTGCAACGACTAATAGTCCCGAAAGCAGTGCGAACACCAGTAAAAGTGAAGACAAAAAGGAAAACAGTGGGGCTACCTCTGATGAAGTAAGTACAAATATAACAGTTATTAATAATGGAGGCTTTTTTGAATATGTAACTATAAAGATGCATTTTCCACTGCAATCTCTTATTTCTTTTTAAACGCCATTTGGCTATGCGTTATCTTTAATCCAGTTTATGCTTAAACTAGTGAAATTTAGTGTACTTTTCGATAATATAAAAAATAATTTCTGATCTCTGAAATGTTTTTATTAACCTTTATTTACAATCTTTTAATACTTTATTAAAATGTCCTAACCCTTTAGTTTATTTAATATTTATTTACATTTATATAATTTATTACAGTCTTCTACAATTATTCTAATTCATTAAAAGAAACACAATATTAATTTAATTTACAGCTTATGCGATCTCTTCTTCCTCTTCTTAGCCTTCTATCGTCCATGTTTGGACAGAGACCTCTCCCAACTCCTTCCATCGGTCTCTATCCTGATCAATATATTTCCAATTTGTTCCGGTTATTCTTTTAATGTCATCAACCCACCTTATCTGTGGTCTTCCTCTTGATCGTTTACCTTCGTAAGGTCTCCAATGTTGTATTGTAGTATTCCAACGTTGGTCTTTTTGTCTAGCAGTGTGGCCCGCGAAGCTCCATTTAAGTTTGGCAATTTTTGTTGTTATGTCCTCGACTTTTGTTTTGGATCTTACCTAGTCGTTCCTCTTTTTATCTGACAGTCGTATACCTAACATTGCTCTTTCCATTGTTCTTGAAGGATGCATTGGTTGAACACTTTGCTCCTCAACACTTTATTTTAGATTAAACTTAAAAATCTAAATTGTCTGCATCGAAACGTCACTGAAATTTTCTACCGACATTTCGACGTTACGGTATTGTCCTCGTTAGCCGGCAACTGGAACTTCATGGAAGCCATATGAACACCGGTTTTGTTTCTCGATCTTTAGGCCAGTTTCTGGCGGCGCTGCGTCTACGTTCGATTGTGAGGTTAGGTGACAGTCGCGTAACATTTCTATTACCAAAACAATTTCAAGTTTACCTCTAACCCGTTTAGTTTTTCTATTGTTCTTCCAGTGCCTATCTAATCGGTCATATTTGTAGCTGTATGAACCACTTACTTAGATTTCTCAGCCAGGAAATCTTTCGCCTTCCTGGTCCTCGTTTTCCTTCTACTTTTCCCTGTAAAATTATTTGCAGCAATCCATATCTTTCGCTGTTCCTCATTATGTGACCGATGTATTCGATTTTTGGTTGTTTTTATTGTGGTTAACATTTCGTTGTTCTTTTTCTATTCTTAATCAAACATCCTGATTAGGAACGTGGTGGGTATAAGATATATTCATGATTCGACGATAAAGCCACATTTCGAAGCCTCAATTTTCTTGCAGGTAGCATGTGTGAAGAAAGTCCATGACTGTCTCCGTACAACAGTATAGGAAAGATATACAGATCTTGCTTTCTCTATTCTACATTTTATTTCTAGAGAAAGCTCCCAATTTTCATTGATGTTCGTACTAAAGTAGGTGAATTTCCTCCACTCCGAGCTTGGATCTCATATCTGAGTTTGGGTCTTCCCTTTGATCCTTTACCCCTATCTTCGTCTTTCTTCAAACTTTTCTTTCAAGAATTCTGTCAATCTTTTCAATATTTTAATTTGTTATGTTTATGTATTTGTATTTGTTATCTCTATCTATCACTGTTCTTCGCTTAAATTCCTTGTTGCTTTTGTTAAGTTTTACATAGAATTGTCTGGTTTCTGTGGGTTTATTTAGTTCTATCTCTCCGTTATCTCTCTCTTTTCTTACTTAGATGTATTCGAAATTACTTTCTTTGTATTATGATCGACATTCTTCATGAAACCATTGCTCTTCAGTTCTTTTTACCTTTTTTATATGCTCAGGGTTTCTTTTGCGGTTTCTTGTATGATTTTCCAAGTTTCTAGTCCGTCTAATTTTTTGTAGAGCTGTTATATCCATTCTATCTTTATTTAGTTATCTAAGTAAATTTTGTAGAGCTCCTAGTCTTTATATATCTCTGAATATATGGGATAATATATTACAATTAGCACTTAGAAGGTTATATACTTCTTCTCACATAGTCGTTACAATTTTATCAAATCGGTTTCTTCTTCTACTCTTGTAACAGCTGATTGTTACAGGGTAGGGTTCTTAGTTTCCCGCTTCACTCCTAAACCTGCAGGACGAGGGTTATCATACTGAATAAGACTTGTTAGTATTATCAACTTCTTCTCTTATTTTCGATACCTCATCATCATCATTGGCTTTTACAACTCTTCGTGAGTTTTTGCCGCGTTTACTATTGCCTTCCATTGATTCCGATCCTGTGCTATTATTTCCCATGGCCTTACTTCCATCTTCTCCAGGTCTTCCCTGACTGCGTCTTTCCACCTTTTTCTAGACCTTCCTGTCGATCTTCTACCATCTGGTCTTTCCCAAAACACATTGCTAATCAGTCTGTCGTCATCACTCCGTACCACGTGGCCTGCCCATCTTAATCTATTGGCTTTTATGTATCTTACGATGTTTCCTTTCGCGAAGAGAGTCTCTATTTCATTGTTGTATCTGCTCCTCCATTCATTTGTCACGCTGTCCCTGCAAGGACCATATATAATTCGCAGGATTTTGCGTTCCCATACTAATAGCTTATTGATTTCTTTCTTTCTCAATGTCCATGTTTCACTTCCATATGTCACTGCTGGTCGTATTATGGTTTTGTACATTTGGATTTTGGCACGCCTTGAGAGAAGCTTTCACCTCATTAGATGTTGAATGGCAAAGAATGATTTATTCCCCGCCAGTATTCGTATTTCAACCTCCCGTTCTCCTGTGTTTTCACTGGTAATTGTTGCTCCTAGGTATTTGAATTCTCTGACCACCTCAAAATAATGATCGTTTATGGTAATGTTTTGTCTTATTCGCTGTCGTTCCTTTTTTAATACGACCATGTATTTAGTTTTTTCTTCGTTTATTTTCAGGTCTACGCTTAGTGTTGCTTCTTCAAAGTTCGATACTATATCCTTAACTTCCAGTGTTGTCTGTGCTACTGCATCTACATCATCTGCAAATGCGAGAATAATCTTTGCTTCGCTGGCAGTTATGTCTGGTTTGACTCTGGTATAGATTTTTCGCATTGCGTATTCCAATGCTAGGTTAAATTGTAATGGGGATAGCGGGTCTCCCTGTCTGAGCCCGGTGCTTATGCCGAAAGCCTTTGAAGTTTTGCTGACACAAATTCGCGCAATCATGGTCAGCTTCTTTGGTACGCCTAACTCCATCATTGCACTCCACAGTTTTAAGCGATCTATGGAATCATATGCTTGTTTGAAATCTATGAAGATCTGGTGTACTTCTTTATTATATTCCCAATACTTTTCTAGCATTTGTCTGATAGTAAATATTTGGTCGATTGTTGATCTTCCAGGCCTAAAGCCGCATTGGTAATCGCCAATAATTTCCTCTGTATATGGCAGTAATCGTTTTAGTACAACTGTAGCTAATATCTTATATGTAGTACCGATTAGTGAGATTTCCCTGTAGATACGACATGTATCTTTTCTGCCTTTTTTATCTATTGGCACGATAATACAGCCACTCCATTCTTTTGGCATTATTTCTTGTTCCCAGGCTTCTTTCATTAATTGGTGTATTTTAGTTCTAAGTTCATGTCCTCCTTTTTTAATCAGTTCTACATCAATATTGTCTAGTCCCGGGGGACTAGATATTCCCCTATATTTTCCCTATTATTTCGATACCTATATTTTCCATACCTCATATATTTTAATCTGACTGTTTTTTTTTCATCATCATCATTCTGACTTTACAACCTTGTGTAGGTCCTAGCCGCCTCCTCAAGAATTTCTCTCTAGTCGTCTCTATCCATCGCCTTTCTCGGCCAAGCACTTATTCCCATAGTCCTGATGTCTTCATCAATGTTTTTCGATTATCCTCATGTCTTCATCGATTGTTTTGTAAAGTTTTATTTGTTTCTCTCTCATTAAATTTAGCATCTCCTTTACCTTTATTTAGTAAATTACACGTTGTGATCCTACATAGGGTACAAGTGACCCTGTAAAGAGAAAAAATGACCCTATTGTTTTTGAACGTTTTCTCATAAATAATAATATGAAGCTCTTCTATTAAAGATCTGCTAGCGGTCTAACAGGGCCTTTTTGCTTCTCTTGTTTAAAGGTATTTAATATGTTACATATATGTTACTTCTAACTTAATGTACAATGAGGAGCCACTTGCGATTAGTTAAATTTTCCAAATCTTATTATATCAAGTTGCCTAAAAATCTGGCATTTGTATTATACCGTACAAAGAGATGCGAGTTATATACTGCAACTACAGCAAAACTAAGATTATGGACACGATGCATAATATAGTTCTTAATACGTCAACCTTACAAACAGATGCGAGTGATATAATGCAACGGCAACAAAACTAAGATCATAGACATGATGCATCATATAGTTCTATTAAAACCTATTCACTAGATTCTTATAAAATTTTACTCAAATATTTACAGGCTCAGTCAAATGCAGATGCGGAAACCTCATCTTCATCGGCGTCAACATCTGCGCCACCTCCACCAGCACCACCCCAAGTAGAACTACATCCACGCAAACGCAAAATGAAACAGAACAAAGACGTCCCGCCTCCACCCAGTGACTCGCAGGAGTCTTCAGCTGAAACTCAAGTTCATCCACATGAACAGCCTATTACGAATTGCTATCGGTTGTATTTGAATATTCGACAACAGGTAAGATAAATTGAAATAAAATATCGTTTATTAATGTTTTCATACAAATACAATATCGGATTTTTACAATTATCACACATTACATGTTGAAGAGCTCCAGAAAGACTTGTGTGGTTCTTTTCGAGGAGGACATTTATATGGTCCTATTCTGTGCTATTTGTCTATTAAAACAATTTTACAAGATACAATAGGGTACAAGAGGACTAATTGACTTTTACGAAGTCAATTTTACTTTTAAATTACAACTTCAAATATCTTTATCACGTACAAAGAATATGTTTGCTTTGGTTTTTTTTTAATTAATAGAGATTTTATTTTTAGATTGCCAAGAGGCGCCGAGGATTGTTTCCGGTACAACCCAAACCTCCTCAAGGGTTTAAAGATTATTTAATGAATAGATGTACGTATGTATTGGCGGGTACTGCTCCTACAACTCCAAATATTACGTACCCTCAAACATTACCGCCACAGATGAAAGATTTGTTTACCGATCAAGAAAAGGAGAGGTATAGACTGAGAACTCAGGTAAGATTTGAGATAAAATATCTGTTTTGAGGTGGAAATATCATTTTTCATGTTCATGTTCGGTTCATAACCGTATCAGGCAGTTGAAAGACCGATAAGATTAATAATTTTTTTAATTTTTAAACTTTAATTAACTCACAGAAATATGATGGTATGGAAATCGGAAATTTTGTACTAGATATTTATAATTATACTCCTTTACGTGTAAATTAATTGTGTGATTTTTTTTAGCATGTGATAGAAAAAGAGAAACTAGTATTGTCCGTTGAACAAGAAATTTTAAGAGTACACGGTAGAGCTGCAAGAGCTTTAGCCAATCAGTCTTTACCATTTTCGGTTTGTACCATTTTAAGGGATTTAGAAGTATATAATCTTATAACACCTGAACAAGAAGAGAAGGACAGAAACGCTAGATCTCGCTATAATGGTAAGAATGTAAAACTAAATATCGTATTCCTTAATCATGCGGTTCTAAATACTACATTCTATAATTTAATTTGAACATTTACCAATAACAATTATCTGATACTCACGATACTTCTCGCACATTTATAGAGCCATTCCCGCAAATACTCACCCGTCTATTAAAAAACACTGTCCCATCCTTCACCCTGCCCATCTCTTCTCCACTCTTCCCCCTCTTGACCAAACACCTCCCTTTATTTAATACCACTCTCACCATTTACAACAAATATGACACATCCCGTACTCTTATAAAAGAAGCCCTTCTAGAAATACTAGAAAAAACACCTTTTGATTTAGTTCTTTATACTGATGCCTCCAAAAATTCTTGTGGTGTAGGATGTGCAGTTACGACTTTAAAAGATCTTATCTCCCCTCGGTTGCCCTCATCATTCAGCATTCTAACTGGAGAGCTGTTTAGCATCTTCCAAGTCTTTGAATTCATTTTCACGTCATTCAAAAATGTTGCATTTTGCACTGACTCCCTTTCTCCATATTGTCATTAAAATCAATATTTACTGATCATCCACTAGTTCAGAGTATACATGACATATACCAATTTCTTTATGCTCGAGAAACAGAAATCTCACTTATCTGGCTTCAGTCACACATTGGCTTTGTCCGTAATGAAACTGCTGATCGCCATGATAAAGAAGCGGTTACTTCATTAATTAGCCAATCAATGATCCCTCTAAGCAAAGACCTTCAAGATAAATTTAAAAAGTCAATCGTAGAACCTTGTTATACTCTTTGGAATAACTATGATACAGCCCTACGCAGAATTCAACCTAAAATTACCCGGCCATACAATATTGACACATGGCTACTTAATGTTCACCGACGAACGTCCAACATGTCAACAGTGCAATTGTGCCCTTACCGTAAATCATATATTAACGGACTGCCAACAGTACACCAGCCACGCCCGAAAACATAAATTGAAGACATTGCTTGCAGATATTCTAAACTATCCAAGTGAATATACCAAAGTACTTCAGTTCCTCAAAGACATTATTCTTTTTTAATAAAATGTATGGTATAGTTTAAACAAGTATACCAGTTTCACATAAAAATAATGTTTGTAGCACATTTTGTTATCAAAATCACTAAAAAGTTTCGTCCAAAAAAGTTCGACTCAATGTGATCATCGGGAATCATCTAAGTAAAATCTGCTGTAATAAAATATAAAATAAAATATTGTAGCGTGTTTAAAATAAAAGCAGTTTCATTGATGGTGTCTGGAAAGGACACGATCTCTTGGACTACGCCTGTTTCTTGAAAGATTACTTCAAGCATAGTCGTTTCTAGTTTGGTCAGTGATAGGCTGTCACAAGAGCTTCAAATTGTCTATGGTATATGGACCAAGAAGACTTCCCATCAAATGGTGGCATTGTGAATCTCATATGATGTCGTTTTCTTTCTCGGTGATTGTTCTTTCACTACAGGATCTAAAACCACTACATTAATTGCTGGTAGCACTTTCGTATTGGTTATCATGCTTCCCAATTCTTTGATCTTCTCTTCTACGTCGTCTACATTTTTCTGTATCTTATCGAATGTCCTACAAACTTCGTTCTTTAATTAGTTGAGAAACATTTTCGAATTTTCCATAAATTATTTTTGTTAAAACTGCTGCTGACTGAAAGTGGAATATTTCTGGATCATCTCCATTCTTGTTGAGAACAACCTTCAGTGGTTCTATAGTGGTTATATACAGGATGACGGTATAAAAGTCGGAGATGCCACACTGGACAGAGTAGAGAAACTCGTGTATCTCGGCAGTAATATCAATGAGAGCTGGAATCCAACCGCAGAAATTAAAAGCCGAATAGAACAAGCCCGAGCTGCCTTTGTAAAAATGAGAAACGTACTTTGCAGTCACGATCTTAGCATTGACCTTAGAGTTCGTATGATATCTTGCTACATCTTTCCTGTCCTGCTGTATGGAGTGGAAGCGTGGACTCGAACTGAGGCTATGCTTAAACGCTTGACAGCCGGCTACTGAAAATAAACTGGGTCGACAGAGTTAGAAATGAGGAGGTCCTTAGACGGTTGAGCCAAACAACATAACTGGTCAATATAATAAAGAAACGCAAGCTGGAATCCTTCGGTCACATTATGAGACACCCTGAAAAATATGATCTTTTACATCTGATCATTCAGGGAAAGATCCAAGGTAATCGTGGGTCCTGGTAGACGAAGAACATCATGGCTGAAAAATCTAAGGCAATGGTATGGAAAATCAACTACATCGTTATTTAGAGCTGCTGTCAATAAAGTCACGATAGCGAATATGGTAGCCAACATGATATCCAACGATCGATAACGGTTATGGAACTAGAAGAAGAAGGTTCTTGAAGGATCCTCTTAAACCCGCTGCAGTCTTCATCTCGTTCTTCTAGTTGCTCACGCAATTATTTTACTGAGAGTTCTACCAGCCGCATATTTGGTCCGGCACACGTACTTTCCAAATGTTCTTTCTTACAAAAAATCACTATCGGACAACGCTGATGTTCCCGACGAACAATACTTCTCAAAATTCAAAAGTTTTTTTTAAAAAGTCACTGTTTAATTTATTTTTAAATTAATAAATTATCCCATACACGTGACATCACTGTAGCGTGTTTAAAATGAAACTTATATAGTGATTCTAATTTATATAAAACTATATATTTTTAAGTTTACAGTACAATATTATCTTGTCAACTAAACCTAACTGATACTGATAACACACTGCATATAAATACCAAAAATATTATTGGAGAATCTTCTGGAGTCATCCTTCTGAGAATTGTGATACGTGATCATTCGCAGATGCACTAGTTCGTTACAACAATATTATGTATTAGTTATATATAATAATATATTATGTATTATATATTAGTTTTTAGATGATATGACTGGTAATATATTATTTAGATAGAAAATATGCAAAATAATAGTTTTGGACTAAATTTCGAAATTTCCAAAGATTCGCGTTCGGTACTATTAACAAAAAGTACTCTTGTTTCTCTTATTTACTAGATATGCCCTACACCACTATGTGGTTTTTTGAAAATATATAAACTTACTAGTTCTTATTTCGTATAAAAAATATACACGATCTTGCTATTTTGTTCTGTAATATTCTACTTAATAACTCAATAATTTATGTCAAAGTTAAGGTACTATATGATTTTCATTTTTTGTAGGTCGTCTCTTTTTGAGCTGGCTACAAGATGTAGATGATAAATGGGAAAAAATCAAAGAACACATGTTGTTGCGACATCATAACGAAGCTGAATCTCTACACGCCGTCCAGAAAATGGATTGGGAATGGAAATTGAAGGAACTAAGTCTTTGTGATCGAAAGTCGACGCCAAAGATTGACGAAACTCACGTGCCAATGGTACACGTGTCTGATGATTTCGATTTATTGCCAGCTTGAATAAAATTTTATGCAATAATTGTAACAGTATTTTAAAAATAATACTTTATTTTATAGTATGTGTTGTGTTTAAATGATTAAATATTTAAATTGATAATAGTTGTTTAATTACTTACCTTATAAAGCGAAAGATCAACAGGTCTCACAGATTTTTTAAATTACAAATTGAATCTTAGGATGAATATACAAAACCCTCTCGATACGAAAGGATCAGACCAATAACAACTAAAGAAACAGAAACAGGCCAAATATAACAAATAGGGAAGATATTTATGGACTGAAAAAAAAACGCTGGGTCCAGACGAGATGCCTATGGAACTACTGAAGTTGCTTAATGAAAATAATGTTTTTATGCTTACTCAACTATTAAGTGTTTTATGAAACTGAAGAAATACCGAATGACTGGATGACTTCGATATACTTTTCAATTGCGAATAACATAGTCCGATCGTATGACACTAAGTTTAATAAGTCAGTCACACATTAAAATGCTTCCTAAAAGTTATACCATTTAAAAAAGAATTGTTCTTTTTTAAACAATGGATATACGCAATAGGATATATGTTACTTAAATGAAAATACTGTTGGGAATCAGCTAAATGAGATGGTCAAAGTTAGAAGTGTATTATATTATGTATTATATTATCTTACAGAAACTTAATAAACACAAATGCTCAGCTTTATGCTCAGAAAACTAGAAGATGAATATAAAAACAACGGAATGGAAATAAACTTAAAGAAAACCGAATACCTAACAACAGAAAATAAGGATATGAGAAACCTAGAGATAGACGAGGGAAGACAAGTAAATGGAACAGATAAATTCAAGTATTTAGGAACCATACTATCGAACCAAGGAACAACAGAAGAAGATATAAACAACAGACTAAGACAAACAAGAAACTGTATAAGACAACTAAATTCAGTGCTGTGGGATAAGAACATTACGATAAAGACAAAAAAGAGAATATATAATACCCTGACAAGAAGTATCCTGACATATGGATCCGAAAACTGGACAATAAACAAGAGAAATAGAGGTAGAATAAGAACAGTAGAAATGAAGTTCCTGAGGAGAAGCTGTAGACTTACAAAAAGAGACAGAATTGAAAACGCAGAGATTAAGCGGAGAATGGGAGTGCAATCAGACATAATCGACTATATAGAGGAGAAAAGACTATCCTGGTACGGCCACGTCAGAAGAGCGGACAGAGGACGCTGGATAAACAAAATTACAGAATGGAGCCCGATCGGAAGAAGAAAGAGAGGAAGACCCCGGAGGTCATTCAGAGATGAAATCGACGAGGCTATGGAGAAAAGAACCCTGCAAGATGGAGACTGGAATGACACGAAAAATTGGAGAAAACGGTTGAGTGAATGAAGACAGTGAAAAACTGTGGAAATCCTTAGTAGTAGTAGTAGTAGTTTGAAGATGACAGGAATATTATTGCCGAATTCTGCCAAAACTGTACTAATGGCCCAGAAAGTATGAAATGCGAGGTAGAACAAGCTATAAATAATGCTAAAATTAGAAAAGCTTTTGGTCCAAATGATACACCAACTGAGTTGCTGAAACTAATAGTGGATAATAACATAAATGGACTTTTTAATTCGATACATAACACATGAGTGATTCCCACAGATTGGCTCAAATCCATCTTTGTCGCAATACCTAAAAAACAATTCGAGAAAATGCTCAGAATATCGATTAATTAGCCTAATGAGTCACACTCTTAAAATGTTCCTAAAAATACTTCACACAACAGAATTAGACGCAAATGCGAAGAAGATCTCGAAGATACCCAATTTGGTTTTAGAAATGCTATTAACCAGGGAGGCACTTTTTGCGCGTAACATCCTATTACAAAAATACCGTGACCAAAGAAAATATGTATTTGCATGTTTCGTGGACTTCGAAAAACCATTCGATAAAGTACATGTAAAATTAATGTAAATACTGAAAAATATCGGAATAGATGACAAGGATATTCGTGTCATTAAAAATTTGTACTGGAATTAAACTGATATCGTAAACATTGGAGACAACTACACCGATGAAATCTCCATACAACGAGGAGTCAGACAAGGTTGCATTTTGTCGCCAACATTGTTCAATGTTTACTCGGACCAGATATTTAAAAAGGCACCTGAGAGACAACCATATGGAATAAAAATCAACGGGGAACTACTTAATGTCATTACATATGCAGACGATACAGTAATTCTGTTAGATAATATTGAAGGTCTCCAAATTCTGCTTGATTGTATTCACGAGGTAGGAGAGGAAATGAGCATTAAAATAAACTCAAACAAAACCAAATTTGTAGTGTTTAGTCCTGATCCACATCCCGATGCAAAGCTTCAATTGAGCGGAGTCCAAGTTGAGAAAGTTCACAAAATGACATATTTGGGAACTGTGATAACGGACCAACTAGATCCAGACATAGAAATAAAATGTAGAATAGCAATGACTAAAACTACTTTTATGAAAATGAAGTCATTTCTTTGCAATAACCATCTCAGTTTATAATTAAGGTAAAGAATGGTTAAGTCCTATGTTTGGTCTGTACTTTTGTATAGTGCAGAAGTGTGGACGCTAAAAGTATCGATCATGAACAAAATTGAAGCATTGGAAATGTGGGTTCATAGACGAATGCTAAAGATACCTTGGACAGCAATAAAAACTAATGAAGAAGTACTAAGCAGCGTTAACAAAGGTAGACAACTGCTAAAGACTGTTAAACATCGAAAAATGTCTTATCTTGGACATATAGTAAGGGGAAATCGATAGAAAATTTTACTAATCCTTAAAGGCAAAATAGAGGGCCATAGAGGTGTAGGAAGAAAACAAGTTTCTTGGTTAAAAAACATTCGTGAATGGACTCAGATACCAAATGCAGGAAAATTATTCCATATTGCAGAAGATCGAGAAGCCTTCGCAATGGTGATCGCCAACGTCGGATAATTCTGATATGGCACGCGAAGAAGAAGGTGACAACTTTAGCATGTTTCTGATTAATATTCGTTCAATAAGATGATATATAATGATTTCTCTCCGGAAAAACAATTTTATTTTCTGTTGAATGAAGTGTTGTTTGAGTGTGTATTAGTTTATAACAAGTATCTTAATCTATACATAGTTTGGATTTATAGATCACTTAATTTTTCCAGGGAACTATTTTTTCAGAACCTGCTAAATTTGTTAGAATACCTGCCCAATAAAAGCAGAACAATTCTATGCGGTGATTTAAATACTAATTACACTGTTGCTTGTGCTACCCAACTATCCTTGATCAATATATTCAAATCATATGGTTTCACAATGCACGTTAATTCTCCTACAAGAATTACTAAAACAACATCTACCATAATTGGTTATATTATCTCAGATTTCTCACCCTTGATGTACGCTCTACAATTATTAATGCAGGACTATCTGATCATGAAGCAGTATATACCAGGTTTAACATTCTCAAGAAACCCTCCTCGAAAACCTCGAATCCTCGTTTAGGTAGGATTTTTTGGTGGACTATCCATAAAAATTTTCATAAATCTCCCATAAATATGTTGTTGGTCTCACTAATTAATGATTACTTTGAAAAAGGTGTATTTCCTAAGTTCCTAATGAGAGTCATTATTATTCTTCTTTATAAGGATGGTGAAAAATCCAATGTCCGCAACTATAGACCTATTGCCTTACTACCGGTACTATCCCAAAATTATTGAGAGACTTATAAAAGCCCGACTTCTGTCCTTTCTCGTTGAAAACGACATTTTATCACAAGGTAAGTTCGCCATTTTATCTAAGGTACCAGTGATGCTAGGTTTTATGTACTACATGAGGTCTACCAAGCACTGACCACTTTGGCGAGCACTTTTTTAAACGCTTCCCTGTCTTTTGCATTGTGAAATATATGTTCACCACTAAGGTTAGTCCAATGTCTGATATTCCTCAGCCAAGATTTCTTCCAAGCCTTTTCTTTCCTTTACTCTTCCTTGCATGATGACGTGTAGAAGAAAGTATTTATAGTTTCGAAGTATGTGGCCCAGAAGACCTTAGTATTGATAGATTATTTACGTAGAGAAAATTAATAATCAATGTATTAGCTCATAGTAATGACGACTTTAATGCTAACGACATTGTTCAATATATGTAACGACTTGTATATAGGTACTAACTAGTCGTATACTCTCGATATACCCTCGATATATTATCCCAAAAGTCCCTCATAATGCGAAAATTGGGAGAAAAGCGAAAAAGAATTTTAAGACATAATTCGCAAATAAAACAGAAACGTGGCAACGCTAATTTATTTTATAGAAATCGCCGTAAAAATGTTCACTTGCGCCTTTTGAAATTTTTCTAACGAGCTACTGATATGGAATCGGTAGGTGTGTATCAGGGCGGGATGATAGAGGGTTATAAGCCCTACAGGTAATCTCGGAACTTATTTAAATTAAGGGTGCTTATAAAATTACCTATGTTGATGTCTTTATAAAGTGATGACACATTTAGAAAGAAATCGGTTTACGTAAGGGATGATGATAATATCTTTTGAGGATAATATTGAAAAAAGTAAAAATGGAACCGGCTTATTGAAGGTTTTTTATTCGATATGATTTGGTTTAATATAGCAGGATATAATCTCCCCCTTTTGTTCGCCTACTTTCGAAAGTGTATTGTGATTTTATGTCTCAATCAATATATATTTTTGTTTTTCTCTTTATTTTAAAACCTGTGTGTTCATCTCCCCCTCTACATTAATATTGATCGTTTTACACTTTTTTCTTTCTGCTGAAGCCAAGAATTGGACTAACAGACCAACCAACAGAAAGCTGGAAAGCTTTCGTAACATATAGAAGCAGGTTGGTCGTGTAGAGAAGCTTAAGTGTAGCTTAGTGTAGCTTAACGCTTTCAAGATATCCGGTTCCCTTATCTTACTAGAAGATATCGACGGTTATTGATTAATCTAACTCTATATAAGAGGACAGAGAATACGTAGCTTCTCCATACTTTACTTCTAATTTGTATTCCCAGTTTTCCATTGCATAACACTGCTTTCATCCTATTAAAAGCTCTTCTGGTAAAATCAAA